CATGATTTGTTTTGATCATTATTATCATGTACACTTTAAATATAACAACAAGAGTATACTTATGAAAAGCTTGCATTTGTTTCGTGATGATCAGCGCGAGAAATCGTCGTCGAAACGGAAAAAAATCTTCACTGCATCTAAATGAATGAATTCGCACACAAAGGGGGTACTATGCTCAAATATCAAAATGGTCATGTAAGATAAACTAATAATACATTTTAAATGAAGAGCTTTTACTCATTTATAGCCGATTAATGCGGATTTGATCATTGATTTTTTTTCTCAAATAGAGTCAAATACAATCCGAGCGCCTAGAATGCCCTTCATCGACCCAAACACGATCCACACCAAATACGGTCGGTCCACCCGAACAAAATGTGTTCTGATTCTAGTTTATTTCCATCATTGCAGAGCCCACCATATAATTGTTTTCATTTTATTTCAGACATCAATTCCTGATAGAGCCAAATGTTTAGAAGTCTTCCTGATTAGAAAGAAAGGTGTTTTAACGTTTCGTCATTTTTATCATTTTGTTTGCCATAGTATGACCTTTTGGTATGTATACGTATTATCTCAGCAGTTTATGGTATATGTAAACAGATTACAGTGTTGATTTATTAAAATTGGTCTTATCTTGGATGATTTGTCTCAAGGATGTGAAATGCTTTAGTGCACCACCAGCTACACATACATTCGTAAATAGATTGTAAACAACTCTTCTTCATACCGCAATCTGTTTGGAAATTACGCCTATAGGTATTTATGAGCCCATCAAGATAAGTGTATTTCCTTGTTCCAACTCATAGTACCTCTGGACTTAGGACCAACTATTTTGTTGATGCAAGAGACAAATCTGTAATTCGATTATGAACTGTGTAAGCAATTTTCAATATCCCCTCATGATTTGAAACTTGTTCAAAATGTAACACGGTGTATCGCTCAGGTTACTGTCTATTGTTTATTCAATTCAACGCATCTATTTAGCACGTTCCTATCAGCACCTAGAAGAATACAACATAGTACGCAGCATCTTTGGGGCACATCACGTAGGATGACAATTCGGCAAAGTCAAAGCTAGGCGGTAAGTGGTCAGACCAGATGTTGTGATCCCACAGAACAAGAAGTTCGCAAGAAGTTGCCGAAAAAAGGTGTGTATGTGTGTACGTTCAAGTAATTTGTATATCGGGATACTCATCAGTTGGATAAACCCAGCCATTTTACATTGCCATTCCAGGAGCTAAGCTCGACTTAATCAGAAATCCTTTTTTGGTTGAAGATGATCTAAAGAATCCACCAGATCGAATTTTCGGGGACGATCAGGTATAGCGTTGAGTGTTGAGCTAAGTGCACTGTCTCGAATTTTTATTTTGTATTTGTATGATGTTCGCCTGCTAATACGAAAAGAAAAAGCAAAGTTCTCTGCATGTCAGACCCAAGGATGCGTGTTTCTATTGAATAGACTAATCGTTATTAAAACTTGGTTTTAGTAAACGATTTGATCTTAAGATACTCGGTTACCTATGTACACATTGATGAGCTAACCAGTTAAAGACAGTTATGATTTGCCGAGACTTCTTGTTGTCCACACGTTATCAAATATAATTCAAGGTAAAACAGTTGGTAGTGCTTTCTTGACTTAAATCACGATAACTGCACTTGAAAGTTTGATACTTGTGAGACGCTTGAAGAGAAAAATATTGGTCAGAAAAGAATTATTGGGTAGGCGCGTTTGCGTAATGACTCAAGTAGTCACCTAGCACACTTTGCGAGATCCCTCGCACATGTTATCAGACGACTGTCGAACGAACGCCTGTGCAGATATTATAAATGCAAACGTGAAATAACTGTCTGAGGGACTTTATTCGGCGTGAAGCCTTTCGTTAAATAATTTTATTCCCCATTCACTATTATTAACGGCTAAATTGTGTTTTCCTTCACAGATACTTGACGAATTCATTCAGCGCTCTGTGTTCTGAATGGGATCCACATCCCGGGGTGTACTGAAGTTTACTTTTAATGTTTTCCCCGTTTCGTAACGATTCAAATTACGGTGGATTTTCTATCACACATATTGTCAGGTTAAAACCCATCGTTTTAGAAAATTGAAACATTATGTGACAGAATGCTAAAAATTGAAATCGAGACACATGTGAACTCCATCAATCTCCTCAGAAACAGTTCAATAAAACAGTATATTCAAAACTATTTTGATAGAGTGGTGATTGTGGTTTTGAACTGATGCTTAAACGTTTCACAAGATTTTGGTCACGATATAGCGTTTCATGGTTTCAACTTCTGTTCCGCTATTCCGACCACAGAAATAGCAACACCAACGGCTCTCTAATGGTTCCACTGAAGAGTAGATTCCAATAAAGAACTATTCTTGGAGTGATAGACGAAATACGATTGGGAACACTGATTGGTGTGACAATCATGAACAAACCAATTTCAATAACTAGTTTCGGTCATTTGGAAACTAGTTCATTTTACACTCTCGTCTTTTCTGTTTCATCCATTCGCATATACCCAGGGTGTTTATTGTCTTGTGTAACTGAATTGGGCAATAAGTACCAGAATTCGGAATAAACTGAATCATTACTCACCTATGCACAAAGACTAACTGATAGCTGAAGATGATGTGACCCTAAAACAACTTTACCCGGAGTTTGGGTGATTATTATTAATCTAATGAGGTACCGTTTTTTTCGGCGCAGTGGAAAGATCAAACGGTAATTTTCTGGAGTAACAAGAGCATTCTAAACTTAAAATTATGTTGTTAGTTTTTTCTGAACTGATTATATTCCGTTAAACGGCCTAGACACTACTCATGTTTATCTTAATCAATCACAATGAAACTGATGAAATCTGACACCAATTAGCAAAATAGTGCAGAAGTTGCCGCAGTTATTAGAAAATACAATTTTTCGACGCAAACGCGAATGAAAGCTGGATATTGTTTCTTTAAATAAATAAATGTCGTATTCTGTAGAAAATGAACATTTGGACAAGTAAATACAGGTTTGTTTCAGTGTTGATATAAGGCTATGCTAGTGACTCGTTGATTATTCAGATTTGATTACAAAGTTAGCCAATAATCTCCAAATTCGGTCGTTTTCTTCGTTTTCGGTGTACTTTAGTGGCTTACCACATGACCAAAAGAAATCATTGAAAAAGTGCTATTTCAATTTGAACCACAAGTAACTGCAACAAACTGCTAACGGACAGTGAATTCAATCAGCTGATTGACTGGGTCGCATCCCACGATAGGTGAACTTGTTTGTCAAAGACATGCTAAACCCTTGACTCAGGTCTGTTGCCTTGTGCTTTTGACCTCAACAAGCCTAGCGATTAGGTCAAAACGTTTGGATGTGGAAACCGGTCCTGGCACACATGCCTGCATAAACCGGCGCTGTCCCGGTGATATTTTTCTGTGTCAGGTCATGTGCATTTTTGGAAAATGTTGTGATAGAAAAACAGAACAGAAGTGCATAGTAGGTTAATGATGTTCGGTCCACTCGAGTTTCTAAACAGTGTTTCTCATTTTTTTTAATTTCTTCATTTCTGAAATCTCTGTCTTAAAACCCCATCTGGTGAAGTCTGGTACAACTAACAGTAGAAAGGACAGATTTCAAACTCATGGTATTATTTGTCTAACTAATATTCTCTTTATCATTATTATTCCGATTCGGAAGATATATTTAATTGGTTTGAAATGCACCCGTGCCTAAAGTAACAAATACTTTCGAAAAACCAAGTGATTTGTAAACCTCAACTTTTGGTTTTTTGAGCTCAGTACTCCTCGAATTACTCAAATTGGATCCTAAGGTGTCGAAAATACTAGTGAACTTTGATAAAATAAATACCTAACCTCATAAGAAGGTTGCATTACTGAAGGATGAGGCTCGTAGGGACAAGTAAGTATCATAACATCTCAAGAAAGATGATAGTTGTTAACAGAAATCCATACACAGTGGCACAAACATGTAAATTTTAATAACAAAACACTGGACAAAGCTTTATACTTACTCCTTCCCCTTACCACGAGAATAAATGTAACGAATACATCAAAGGTTCAATTAATCACCGGCCCACAATTAGAATTTCTTATTTGATTTTACACGTCGCACAGAATGCTGTCTTATTTGGTCTTCAAAATACGAAATCGGATTAATCGTGCCTAGTTCTGCCAAAACAGCAGTAAGGTAATGCTGACACAATTGTATGAGCTAGAGTGAGAAAGTGTCGCGGTCCAAAATATAGCACTCCCGTACACATCCGTCACACATTTTGGAAGAATCACCGGAAACCCGACAACTGGTGGACCCACAAGGTGTAATAAATTAAACGGCGGCCAGTAGACATGCATTTAGCACAGCACGGAGGTGTTCCAAACCATCTAAATGTGAATTAAAGCTGTGAACATCCTATAAACGATGTATTGAATTTCTTTTCATCAGGGCTGTTGTCTTCATTTGGAAAGTCAAGCTTATTTTTGACAAATGTTTAGGCTACATCTTTGCTTACTATCATATCCTACTAGTTCTCTTCGCACTCTGGAGGTTCACATTCGGTTTTAGTCATAGTATAATCGCAAACATTTATTGTACATCGAGAAAAAGTTGTATGAAGCTAAACGTTCTTCTATCAATCGCACGCAAACAACTTATCTTCAATTTGGACAACACAGAGCGTGATCTTGCTTGACATTCAACCTATTGACGTTCTGATTTTTCTGGTTTAAACAGTACTGCTGTTCTCATTTTCAATTACACAATGCTACTACACACGTACCAAGCGTGCGACAGATTACGTCACTTAATTTTGCTCAACCTCATTTTCAATTTCTAATGTACGACGAATAGATGACCGGATGTAACTCGGTGACAGGGGATTCCTCTGTACTACTCTCTAAGCATAACCGATATCAGGGATTGAAGAACTGTCCGCAAAGTTTTAACAATCACATGCGATGGCTGCCAGTATATGATTAAAGGTCGACCAACAACGAAAGCATAGCAGAGTTGGCCATTTTGCCATTGATAAATCTAGCTGCAGCGAGAATGCCATAAAGTTTCAACTTTGACCATTGAGAGTTAGATGCAGGCTTTATTTTAACTGCGATTGCAATTGAAGTGTGCTGACCAGACTAGAGAAAATAGTATGTTCTTGTCAGTAAAATATTATTATAATGTATCTGTGAGTAGAAAACATTTTTGCGACGAAGAAGCCGCTGTCTACTACCTCCCTTGAACTTTCACTATTCTCAGATTTTAGATTTGGATTAGTTTAAAGATATAGATAGACTCATTGAAAATTTTTATTTCGTTTTAACCATTACAAAATGCATTTTGGTCCAGAATTCCCAATACTTATTATTTAGACCTCACTTTTACTGCAAATATTACCGTGTGTGTCGCAACATGAACCCTGACAAAAAAGCAGTATTTTTTGCATGTCCTATCCCCTTCACAATTAGCACCTACCCATTGCTCCGGATGAAACAGAGGAGGAACTATCACCCGAAGAACGCCGTAAACGGGAAGAATTCAAAGCGAAACGGCGTATGCTCGCTCTTGAAGGAGCTGATGGTTTAGACCTCAAGGCTGTGCTGGCGCATCGCGTTTCGCTGGTGGACGGCGTTGAGGAAGAAGAGGAACCGGAATGGGATGAGGCCGCGCGAAATTCCGCACAAAATCCGGTAGCAATGGACAGCTCTGTTGATGGGCCCGAGGCTGACGGGGATGATGAGGCTGAGAATCAATTGATCTACTCCATGGGTGAGATTTCCTGTACAGTACCAAACAAGGTTAACACCATCTCCAATCCGCGTTCCGATCATTCACATCAATAAGAATACCGATCAACGTGTTCACGCTTTCGGATTTCACTATTGACCTCGGATTCCCGGCGCTTCGATCTTCCGTGATCTGCTGACATACTCATGTATTTCTGTACACATACACACACCCACACATACAACTCTATCATGCAAATCTGTATCATTGATAATTCATCAATACATGAACTGAGTTTTCACTTTACGTACTCGATATCACTTGTTACCGTTTGCTTTCTTTCTTGTTACGCACTAACAACGTCCGAAAGGTAATTAAATGAACTTTCGGCGGTATGCTTATTGTATTATCTCGTTTCCTAGTACGATTTATTGCGAGGACGCATCTGATATGCATCCCTATGTTATTTCACGTCCAGTTTTCGCGTGGTTCATCATGTATACAATCCTCGATTTGATGTTTGCTGTGCTCACATGTGACTGTACATCTGTCTGTTTATTGGGCGGCTTGACCGCTCTCCTGATCCAGACCGCTTTCTATCATTCGTCCATAACATCCGTCCAAGCTAAGTTTCCTGATTTACCTTCTCATCCAATTTTCTCCATCTTTTGATGTGAGATCATCAATCCGAGTGGACACAAATTTGACGGCTTTTCTCCCGATGATTCATATGTTCACTGGTTTGTAAGTGTTCATTCAAATCGTGTGATCTCATTCCGCTGAATAGAAAGTTCATTTCTAATAAACCATTTCATTCATTCAGTCTGTATTGTGCTCAGTGGCATCACGGGTCGTACAGTACCAGCAGTCACTCTTCAAACCAGGTGCCTTTGTGCCTCACTCCTCCATTCAATCAGTCACTGGTCGCATGTACTTCCTATACCTTGCTCTCAGGCAACTGATCAGAAACAAAAATAGCTCAATCGAATGTGGAAGCCGAGGGGATCTGATGCCTTAAATGATCACGCTATGTAAGGACTAAGCAAAAGTGAACAACCGCAAACTTTGGGGACTCGTTGCTTACAATGAATAATACTTAGACCAGTCATACTTTCTGCGGCGTCATGAAAACATTGCTGAGGATTTTAGAATTTCACAACTGATAGATCGTTCATTTATTCAGTCTAAGTGATGATAAATTCAAGGCTGTTGTCGTACACCTATAACACATGTCAGGTTAGCTGAAAAATATCAAATTGTTGAGTCGGCGGATCACAAAAAGTACGTTAAGAAGTAAGATAAAATGATTTATCCTCTTAGGTTACGTTTCTATAACCTCGTTATGGAGGTCCCGATAACGTTAAATGTTCGCTCCTCAATCGACATTCAAAACACATCACTACACTAGGGTGAGTTGTTGTCCCGTACAGTCTGGTTTCAGCGCGTGTGAGGAAATAGTGTTTAAGTAGGTAACTTCGGTGTATTTTTCTATTTACAATTCGCGTTCAACACCGGACATAGCAAACTCATTTTGATATTATGCAAACACTGCCGTCCATAGTTTCTGCTACACCTATCCATGTAGGGCTTTATGAGATTCACTACACTAAGTCTCAAGTTACTAGTTACTAGTATCGGGTATTTGTTTTCAAGAGTTTTATGCCTACTGCGGCTCATCATATGTTGGCACATCATGAAGTGAAACACAATTTAGTTGCAATTCAGATTGTCACAATGGTGAGACGTACCGTAACAATTTAGAGGATATGCTCCGCAGCCATTTTGCCCGGAAACCATATTTGGGCAAACGCCGACAACCGCCAAAATTGTATGAATATACGGTTGTAGAGACAATGGTAAAGAGTATAATCAGAGAAAAATCCACAACCTAGATAATCTGGATGTCTGATTCCGCGTGCTTTGGTATACTTTGACGAAAATGTTGATATTAATCCAGTTTTATCTAGTGATGTCTCACTTATTTGCCCGAAAGTTTACTAGTTCGAATCCTGTTCAATTGAACAATGGAAATTTGCCTTGTTGATTCGCCTATACGGTTTGAACTCCAAAAGAAGTATTGCTCCACGTATGTTGTGCTTAAGGCTAACATTGGAATAAACGGACAAACGGTAAAACCAAGGAGAATAGGACTGCGAACACGGATTTGGTACGTTTTAATCGTCTCAGTGGTGGCGATCTCCCCGACGGGGACGTGCCACTCGCATATGCTGAAATCAGTCCCTCTGCTCCTTTGCGATTAGGAATCCCACTGAAATGAATACAAATTTTACGGTGCAGACCGTGAGACACGACGTCAGTAGGTTGAGATGTGGATTCCAAGTCAAATAAATTAATTGCTTTTGGCATCACATTGGTTAAACATTCACCAATAACACGGCTGTCGTCCATCGTGCATAAAGTAACAGAAGAGAATTTATAACAATAGTAATAACATAACAACAAAAATCTTAGGTCTTGTGCGCTTAAACCTGAATTTGAAAGGGTTTTATGAGAAACGAGGGAAAATACTTGTACCNCCCCCCCCCCCCCCCCGCAAGAAAGAGTTACTAAAGTCATTATTCAAGAATGATACAAAATGTTTAGATTGGATGAAGAAATTTAAACAGATAATGAAATCGCAACGTTCATGAATCGCAATGTTTTGTCCCTTACACATTGGGCCGCTGGAGAATTTCGTCGATTGGGTGTTAATAGGTTCCTTCAAACAGAAATATGCATTCACTGACAAGTTATGTGCGTTGCTCCTCTTACCATTTAATTTAGTTTAGCCTACATCACTGCGCTTAGTAAGTTCATGTGTTTCTCTTGATTATGAAGTACAAGAACGAAAAGGACGAATATAAATCTACTACTTGGATTTCTGATCAGTACGGCGACCATTCCTATCGCCCTGTCTTCCGGCCGTCCCCGGGCTGGGTGTTCTAGATACGTGATTCTTTCAAACCTTTTCAGAGACAACTAGAATGTATAAAACCGCTGCAAGCGTATGCTACCGAACAATACTGTCATGTTTGGTATGTAGATCACAGATCTAAGGCGTTTACTATTAGTTCAATTGGAAACCAAGACTAACGCGTAATGTTTTTGTGTCTATGGTTTTCTACGCACCTATACCCAAATTTTGTAGTTTAAAGAAAACTTCTGTTTCGCCATGAATACCTCATCTATACACCTACCACAGCTGTTCTTCGGAAAATAAGCCTGATTATGTACCTTAGCATCCAGCTGTGGGTTACGACCAAACAGTCAACGAAAACTAATCTGACCCCTAGTCAGTTACCGGATAATTGAATGTCTAAAGTATAAGGAACACATTTATGACGGAGTGGTGAACTTGGTGAGAATGAAAGTTTTTGGTCTACGAGCAACAACATCTGTGTAATTGGACGGAATGAGATCAAATACAGTCTGTATTATTTATACAATTTTACAACGGTCCTCAATGAGCCAGACCAATTCTTACACAAATTGACGTGCACTAGTTTTGTATGAAGTGATGCGAATCGGTCTAGTATTTTTCAATCAATTTTTAAACCTGTATTTGGGACAACCAGGCTCACAAATGATNNGTGACAAGCAGACACAAGGACTGATTCGCAACGGTCCGATGTGAGACACGTGATCACCGCGCTCAGCCAGACTGGGACTAATGAACAGGTGATGCTAATAACAATCAAGAACAATCGCACAAAGGTGTTGCGCTCCTACAAGCAAATGATGAGACCACTTGAAAACGAATAAGGTGAATTTGATCTAAGTTTAAATTTGAATAATCTTAACATTGTTATTATTGCTGCAATTACCTCTGTAGGCATAAATCCTATATTTTAGTTGAAAATATACAAAATGGAGAAAGGGAGAAAATAGAATAAGATTTAAATCCCGAAACTACTAATAAAGTCTATGTTCTTTGTTAACTACGATACGTACTAAAGAGGGTATCTTATAGTTACGATATATGTTCATTCGAGAGGGCAGATAACGGTATTGGGATGTAGTTGACAAATGGGAAAAAGGGGAAATTAAATCTGTGTGGAGTCGATAACAATCTTATATGCAAACGTTTCACATGTATTCTAATGACTTTTGCACAAGTTACATTTAGGAGTTGCGGATTATGATGGTCAGTCCCGTTCGAAACAGTTTAAAATCTTTCTTAAGAAGATTGGTAAAAACAGTTAATGAACAATAAAGTAAAACGGGCAAAAGACACCAGTAAATGAATGTTTCATCCGAAACTGACGAAGTTTAAGGATAGGAAAAGCAAGTCATCGAAGTTTACTGATGATATGTGAGAGGTTCGATAAAGATTTGCATCTATCTAGGTATTTAATAATGCTTACCCGGGATATTCGTTCAGAGACAATCGATACCGGTTCAGATGGGAAAGAAGAACGTGTTAACGTAACAAAACACTGTAAACACTGGGAGGGATAAAGAGAGATGCTGGATGTGGCGGAGATGTGCTGAACGTTTTCCAAGTTTTAAAAGACCAGACGATCCAGAGGTGGCCTGACATAAAACTAAATCATCAGCATACTTGATGAGAGAAGTAGGGGCACTAGCAGACTAGTTGCTAATATACTTCGAAAATAAACATGGGGAAAAGACTGCAGCTTGGAGTACCCCCAAGATTTGTTCACCAATGATTTCGAATTCCTCCAACCTCACCTCGAGAATTGAGTTCTGTCGGAAAAGTTAGCAGCAAACCAATCTAATAACTGCTTGGGACAACCGAAGGTTTCTAGCTTAATAAGGAGAAGGGAATGAGGAATAGAATCAAAAGCAAATGAGTTATCCAGAAACATAAAGAACAGATTTCACGGAGTCATTAAAGAATTTGGTAATTTTACGCACACGTGAGGAAACTGTACCTTGCATCTGTTTGGTTGATGGGCAAAGTGAAAAGGATCACACGAGAGATTAGTTAAGGACTGGAAGGGATTAGGGTTCTATTAGTTTAAGACAAGCAGAAGTTAAAGTGATTGGACAGAAGCATTTGATTAGAACGGTTGAGGTAGGGAATTTTTGAATGGGAACAATTGTTACTGGTTTTCAACAGACTGGTATGGAGCAGGCTTTAAAGAAGTGTTCA